ATTTTTGTTATCTCTTATCGTGTCGTTAGAAAAAAAATTCTATCATGTGAGAGAGAAGGTAGAAGTCACGCATAATAAATAGCTATGTAAGACTAAATAAAGATTTATCACACATGAGACAATCTTGATATACATTAATGAAGTTTTCTCTTAATAATATTTAATAATTGAAAGAACTAATAAAGATAAAATCATAATTAAAATAAAATATAATTAGAAAAAAAAACATTCTGAATACAATGTAACTCAAAGATTAGCTACTGGATCTTTTTCTTTAGTTGATTCTTAAGTTAATGGAAAATAATTTATAAGCATAATTTAATCAATTGAAGATTTATAAGTCATACAAATTTCAAGCATCCATAAAGTAACAAATTTAAATAAACATTGATTTTATTTATCGAGAGTTTCATTTTTCGGTAAAATTATAAAGATCAGTTTCAAATAATGTCGCTAGACTTAAACTATTCATATTAACTGGTCAACAGAAAGACGAAAATCTAGAAAAGAAAAAGCTAAGACTTTAAACTGGAAACATAATTTTGAGTACCTACATAAAATCAATATCGATTATTAATTGTGTTTCTTGTAACTATAGATCATCACCATAATTGTTGTGATGAATATCGATCAAGAAAACAGTGTCAAAATAAATAATCGATCAATCGATATTATGCTTTAAAAATAAGTTGGTAGATTTTGATAAAATTCTCATAGTGAGAAATTGCATAATAATATTGATCTTCTCGGATCATTGAACATTGTATTTCGTACAGCATTTCACATTCGAGAGAATCTCGAATACCATTTAGGTATTCTCAATTAACTTTAAAAATTTGTTTTTTTTTTCTTGATAAGGCAAATTTTCATTTAATTAGGATTAATTGTTAATCAATCATTAACATGATTTCTTTCAATTGACATTAATATAGAGATTGAGGAAATATATTAACTAATGTTGATATTTCATGGATTCATTGACCATAGTTTATATCCGCAAGATATTAAATCTTTTGAATAATATAAATGTTGTTTTTCTTAAAGTTAAAATTAAAAATTAAAAAGAAAAATATTTATCTATTTATATTCTAAATAAATAAAACTAAAAATGAATATGTTTTCAAGACTATTATATCCGTTCAAACTTGTATATGAGATGAATGTAAATAGAAATTTTATTTATTCGATTCTCTTGGGTTTCTATTGTTCGATAATCATCTTCTCATAAAAGAAAATGTGATATTTTTTGAAGTTTATCCTCATTACATTTTACTCTCATGTTTCACAAAAATCCCAAGAATGAAATAGTCTTTAGAAACAATATTATCTTTCATGAATTTTTTCCAGTGTTTATTACTGTTAATTCCCTAAAATTTCAAAGACAAATCGATAATGTGAGTGAATTCTAGAAAGAGAATTTCAAAAATCTTTTCTTTTAATTGTCTTTACAATCGATTCGAATCAGTTAAAGAAAAACTTTTTTATTTAATCATAATAGAAAATGAAATGAAAATCTTTTAAAAAACAATTTGAACGATTCTTGTCTTCCGTCTTCTTGATAGATTGTGTCATGTTTCTGCTTTATGTCCATCTCAGTAAAATAAAAAAGTTAAATTTCTTTCTTTCATACATCTTGATCGAATTGCGTTATACTTGAAATTAAAATTCATTTCTATTTGAAATAATTTTCAAGCATTGATAAAATTAGCCCATTTTAAAGGATTAATCCATATGATCTAAAAAATGTAAAATAAATATTTTATTTAATAAATAATAATATCGAATTAAAGTCCTCTCATATTGATAATTTGTTGTTTTAATAATCATGTTTATCAATTAATTTAAATTGAACATGTCGATCTACTTTATCTATCGATATCATTCATATGACCAAATCTTTAAACAAAATGATAAAATATTTTTTTTTTCTTTTTTCTGATTAATTCTTGCGACAGTCGTTTGTAAAATTTGATAAATTTAAATACCATAAAATAAATTCTTATTAATCAATTTGTTCTGATTGATTTAATTTATTTTCAAAATAATTTGATAAGAATTTTCTAATCTGACTTAACAATAAGATTTTTTTAATAAAACAGATAAATTGTATAAATCAATGAATGAATAAAAAAATATTTTTTAAGTGAATGTAATAAAAATCATATATGATGATTAAGAACGCTTTTGAATTGTTGAACAGATGTTAAATATTCTAAAACTTTTTTTTCGATATCAGTAACAGTTTTAAAAGTCTAACTAAATCTAATTTAATTTGATGATATTCATTTAAAATTTTGAAAACGATTGAAATCAATAGAATTCTCTAATTGTTTTATTTAATACTGAATATGGACGATTTTCTATTAAATAAGAACAATTATCATTATTTTATAATATTTTATTCATCAGTAATTGTTGATAATGAATAGATAATTGTAATTCACATTGATCATACTGTTTTCGATTCAAATATCATCCTAAAATGAACTTTAAAAAAGTAATTTTTTCCTATCAAATAAGAACATTGGATTTCTATATAAAACGTTTTTTATATATGAACATATTTTTTATATAAATCAAATTCTTTTATTGATGAACTGTTCAAAAATTGAAGTTCTACAACATTGAAGAATACCTCGTTGCTTTTTATCATGTATATTTACTATTTGAAAATATAGTCTGGTCTATATTAGCGATACTAATGATCGATCTAAAATATATTTAAATAGAGGAGAAGGATGAACTGGTAAATCCTCTACCATCTAATAAACGAAGATACGAAGTAAACGTTTCTGAGCTTTTCGATTTGTTTGATTTATATTATACTGAAACAAACTGAATCAATGATTGAGACCAGCATAGGAGTGAATAAGAAATGTATCTGATTCGTATTCTACAATCGTATTAAGTTTACTTTTTCTTTGAAACATCTCCCAGTGAGAACAAGACGAGACAAAAAGAGAGTGGCCTGTTGGGGTGTGGATGTGGGTGGGTGTCGCTGAAAACAATGCCCACACGCACACCCACACCCTGAATTTACAAAAATTAATGAGAAACATTCCTGATTCTCATGAGCGTTTACGAAGTCGACTGATGTAGTGATCATCAATATAATCGAAGATTTGTTAATATTCATCACCAAGATTTGAGTATAAAGATTATTGTTATCTTTGAATACGGCTAATCATTGTGCAATAATGATCACCAATCTGCTCTACATGTACAGTCGGGGTCAGAAGTCTCGCCCCACTTTTTTGTTTTAAGTCTGTATTAAAACTACACAACATTGTTTTAATTTGTATATAGGCTTGTGTAGTAGAGGTAAAGTATTATCTATATATATCTGTTTAATACGAAAAGCTCTTGAATATAAAATACAATAAAAATAAATAAACTGCGATGCTAAGAAAAAAATGACACAAAAAATACAAAATGAATTTGTTCCTATTAATTTTAGCTATTTTATCACACAAACTAAACGCGAAGAATTATCGAATCAGTATTTTTAAAAAAGTATTTTCAAGAGCCCTGCAGCTCTACTATTGTCTGACAGGTTTATAGTTCGTCGCTTGAGCACATAAAGAGAAAAAGAGACTTTTAACCCAATTAAATTTTCATCTTGCAGCAAGCGAGAATTTCATTCGTTTCATATAAAACTTTTGTTTTGAAATTCAAATAAACCCTGTGATCAAGTCGAATGCAGTCACTCTAAATTAAACGTGATAGAGATGATAAAATATCATTTGCTAACAGATTATTATCAGCCGTTCATTGATTGTTCCCATACAAGCACCCTTATTATAATTACAACACCATCTATCGACACTAATCGCTTAAATTCGTTACAAATTTAATTACCATTCGATATTGAATAACGACATACATTTTGTTTGTTCCGTTCTTACACAATTTACAAGAAAATCGTTCAAATTCGAATAAACTTATTTTTTCGCTGATTATTGTTGAATTTTTAATATGGACAATTTACCTCGATATTATAATTCTTTATTTAAATAACGTGTAGTCGAACATTATTTGAAAAACCAACCAAATATTAGTTTTCGATTTATTGCCAATCTTTTTCAAATCATGGGAGGTCATAAAACAGTGAAGCGATGGTTCGATAGATATGATGGTACAGTTGCATCATTGCAGCAAAAATATCGTTCAGGAAGACCACCAATATTAAATAAGCAACAAGTCAATAAACTCATTACTAAAGTTGTTCGTTCTCATAATCGTCTTTCAAGTACCATTGATTACATTAAAATCACAAATTCCATTCGTCAAGAAACAAATATTAATGTTTCTCTTCGAACGATTCGACGATATGGACAGAACAGTGGTATTAAATATAAGAAAACCATCAAGCGAACTTACACAGAAAGTGAGTATAAAAGCTTCCAGTCACCGCCTCTTAGTAATTTGTTGTTTGTTTTAATCGTTTTTCATTTGTTTCGTTCACAGTGAGTGATATTTCTTGCGATGCTATAGCAAAACTACGTCGTAAACTACAACGTGTATCAATTAATGAAGTTATCTTTATCGATGAAACTCATGTTAAAATAGATGAAGTACCAAGAAAAACGCTGGTAGCACCAGGTGAAAACCATTTGTTATTGTTACTGATTCATCATCTTATGCTGCTCGTTACGATATGATTGCAGCTATTGTTGGTAATAGAGTACTTCCACCAATTATTTTTACACCTGAAGATAGAAGAACAAGAAATGTTAAAGGAATCAATAGTGATTTGTTTATTGAGTTTATTGAAAATGTTTTATGTCCTTCAATTACTGAACTTGATCCTTGTCCTATGTATTTAGTATCAGATAAATCAAATATTCACAATGCATCAAAAATTGAACAAGCTTTTCGTAATGTTGGATACACAGGACTGACAGAGGTATTGATTCTACCTACTCAAGCAGCAAAACGTGTCAGTCCATTACACAACACGCTATTCCACGAATGGAAAGAAAGAATCAGAAAACATTCATTACTTGCTGAAGAAACTTTAAGTACGACGATGATTAATGAATGGTATAATACAAATGAAGAAAATATTAAACATCATTATGATCATTGTGCTATTACTGGACCCCGGCGTGACCATAAAACCGTGACTAAAGAAAAAAAGATTGTCTGACAGTAATTTTCATGTTGAATATGACAAAAACACTTTTGATTTAACTCTTTGTATTTAGAATTTTCTCCTCTTCAAAATGATGTATAAAACTTGAGGATACAATGATCTATACAAGAGAAAACAATGAAACATTTCCCGTGACCAGTTCTAGTCACGATCAGTCACGGAAATTTCTGGTCACGGGAAATGTTTTATTGTTTTCCCTTGTATAGATCACTGTATCCTCAAGTTTTATACATCATTTTGCAGAGGAGAAAATTCTGAATATGAAGGATCAAGTCAAAAGTATTTTTGCTATATTCAACATGAACATTACTATCGAATAATCTTTTTTTCTTTGGTCACGGTTTTATGGTCACGCCGGGGTCTAGCTATTACACGTGGACAGGATGTGTACAAAGATTGTCCATCTCCATTAAAACATCGTCATTTCTCATAAATTAATAGGAACAAATTCATTTTGTATTTTTTGTGCCATTTTTTTTCGTAGTATCGAAGTTTATTTATTTTTGTTGTATTTTATATTCAAAAGCTTTTCGTATTAAACAGATATATATAGATAGTACTTTATCTCTACTACACAAGTCTATATACAAATTAAAATAATGTTGTGTAGTTTTAATGCAGACTTACAACAAAAAAGTGGGGCCAGACTTCTGACTCCGACTGTAGTTTAATTACAGGTACTCCAAAAAAGTATCCAGACACCAAGTTCATCTCTATTCTTCCTCAACATCAATCTCAGGTCATGCACATGCAAATCGCATAAGATTTTCGGGATATGTTGAAGCTATGGGGAGAACCTATGGTAAAATTTTCAGCCCTATACCATGATGTTTGAGGGGGATATTTCCCAAAGCACAGGTAAACTATAGCTCTTTTGGCAACCTAAAGTTTTCTTTGAAACTTCATTCTATATATTTAGGCTTTTTCTTTGGTTGAAAGAGCAAACTAAAATGCAGGGCATGGCAGACTTCTTTTTTTAATTCTTACATTTTAATCAGCAAAAATGGATGACAAATTCAATAACTCAAAAAAAATCTCAAAAACCGTTGAAATATAGGATTTTTGGGTCATTGAACGTGTCATCTCTTTTTGCTGGTTAAAATGTAAGAATTGAAAAAAGAAGTCTGCCATGCCCTGCATCCTAGCTTGCTCTTTCAAACAAAAAAACCTAAATACATAGAATCAAGTCTCAAAGAAAATTTTAGGTTGTCAAATGAGCTATAGTTTACCTGTGTTTTGTGGAATATCTCCCTCAAACATCATGGTATAGGACTGAAAATTTTATCATAGGTTCTCCCCATAGCTTCAACATATCCCGAAAGTCTTATGCGATTTGCATGTGCATGACCTGAGATCGATGTTGAGGGAGAATGGGGATGAACTTGATGTTTGGATACTTTTTGAAGTACCTGTAGTTAGGTTAATTTTATTCTAAATTCTATCACTGACACTTAGGTGGTCGTCTCATTCGTCAGAAAGTATTTCGGTGAGCAAATATTATAATGAGCAATTATCCTAGTGAGCAGCTGTCCGTATCCCGTATAGGCGTTCAATGTCAATATATTTTAGGAAACTTGTATACGTAGAAAAAAATGATTATCGTGACGTCAGTGGAAGAAATAATGATTTGTTCATAAATCGGTCTATCGAACTTTTATAATTCAGATCCTCATTATGTTATATCCAGTGATCGATCACATTTGGATGAACATTTTTTGTGATTGTACCTTTTATTTGTCCCCGAATAAATATACACTTCGAGCAAGGTTGATAGTCGATGTTTTTGGAGTTAAATTGCTGTAATAATCAGTCTTATATAGTACTTCGATCTGTGCGAAAACAATAAGAAAAAAAGTTTCTTTTTTACTTTATCTAGTAGGCTATATGATCCTCTAACACTACTATAAACATCAAGTTTGTCACCTTAGTGCTTCTAACCTTACAGTGAATATCCATCTCTTGAAAAACTCAAAAAATCATCTACAAACTATCATATACGTACAGTGTCGATCTTGGTTTTCTTGAATATCAATGACAAATTATCGTCAGTTATTATTGGACACCATTTATGCATTCAAACGTGACATCAATACGAAAAATATAAGTCAAATACAGACCTATCACGATGATACTTCAATATTGACAGCAGAAAACGAAAAGAGAAAATGTATACGTCACACTACCATAAAAAAATGCATCCTATCTTAGATATTCATCCTTAGTCTTTGTCGCAATTATTTAGTAGTAAGAATTTTTACTTATTAATTTTGTTTTATAACTAAGATTTCAATTTATTAATTTAGTAAAAAACAAATTTTATTTAAATATTAATTACCTAATTTAGCAAACATTTTATTATTGAGAAATTATTAACCCTTTCGGGACCGGTGACGCTTTAAAGCGTCATTGAAATTTTACATGATCTGACGCAAGTGAATTTGGATTTTTTTCTGGGTCTTTTCGAAGTAAATGTTGCGGTTGCTTTATTTT